CCTGTGGCTCCTAGCCACGAAGGTTTATTTCTTGTCTGTGCTGTGTTACAGGTCCATTGGGGATTGGTTGCTTTTTATCCTTCTGTAGCCCAGGCTCCTAGAATAGCTTCTAACTAGGACGTTCTTGGTCTTATGGACAAAGGGAAGAAGAAAAAAAATAGTGAAGCTGAGAAGAATTTCAATCCAATGAATATGTGTATCATTTGCTTAAGGATGAGAAACCAGCAAGTCATATAGCAGGTTTAACGATGACTGTATTGGGAAGAGCAGGGTAGTGGGCTGGATAGTGATACCAGGTTCCTCTCTCTGGGACATGTGCCTGGGTCATTCATTCACAGAAAAAAAGGTCTTTGGAGAAGCAATTAAGGATCTTGATATGGGAAGATTGACCTGGAATTATTACCGGAATGTGCTCTAAATCCATCACTGTCTGAAGAGACAGAGTGAGATTTGACCAAACTCACTTCCAGTGACTCAGTGCCATCTCACAGTGACCCTGGAGGGCAGGGTAGGGCTGCCCCTGGGAGTTTCTGAGATCCTAACTCTTTATGGGAGTAGAAAGCCCATCTTCTTCCTGAGTGGCTGGTGGTTTCAAACTGCCCAATGAGTAACCACTCACTACACCATCAGGATTCCTTGGAAAACTTGACACACACACACACACAAAGGCTACTACGGTGGCAGAGATTGGAGTGGTGGAGCCACAAGTCCAGGAAAGCTGGCAGCCACAAGCTGAAAGAGGCAAGAAAAAAAGTCTACCCTGGAGTGTGGCCCTGGCAACTCTTATCATTTTGTCCCAGTGATAGTGATTCAGGTATGTGGTCTCTAGAATGGTGAAAGAATACATTTATATTGTTTTAGGCCAGTGGTTCTCAACCTGTGGGTCAAGACCCCTTTGGGGGTCAAACGACCCTTTCACAGGGGTTGCCAGATTCATAACAGTAGCAAAATGACAGTTATGAAGTAGCAATGAAAATAATTTTATGGTTGGGGGGGTCACATGAGAAACTATTAAAGGGTTGTAGCATTACGAAGGTTGAGAACCACTGTTTTAGGCTATCATCAAAAACTAATGCTAACACTGCAAATTTTCAACTTGTGGTGGGATTAAAACCATAGATTGGCTATGGATACAAGTGTTATGAATTGAATATGTCCCCCACCAAAAAAACAAAAGACGTGTCAATCCCAATGTGTTTGTAGTTACGATCCTATTCGGAAATGGGCTTTGTTTTGTCAATGAAGCAGGACTGGCTTGAGTCCGTCTATTTTTATGAGATACAAAAGAGAGTAAACCATGGAGAAGCAGAGAGGCCAAGCCACGGGAAGATCATGCAGGAGTAGCAGCTCAGAGACAAAGCACTCCCTCCAGAGCCAACAAAGAATGTTTTCCCCTAGCTAGCCCGCTAACCTGTAAGAAAATTAACTTACTTGCCAAAGCCCCCCCCCCCCCCCATGGTATTGATTATAGCAACACCAGGCAACGAACAGCGTTTGGTACTGCAACAGTGCAGTGGCTGCTCCGATTTCTAAAATGTGGGAAAGTTTTGGAATTGGGTAATGGAAGAGGCTGGAAGAGTTTTAAAGTGCTTAATATTGAAACTACCATCGATTGCCAGATGAACAAACGAAACTGTCTTGGAGAAAGAAGTACAGCCAGCATGCTCCTTGACAGGATCATGAGGAGACTTCATCTCCGGTACTTTGGGCATATCATCAGGAGAGATCAGTCCCTAGGAAAGGACATCACTCTTGGTAGGAGGCCAGCAAAACAAGAGGAAGACCCTCCATGAGATGGATGAACAAAGTAGCTGCAACAACGGGCTCAAACTAACAAGTGAGAGTGATGCAGGGCTGGCCAGTGTTTCAACCTGTTGTATGTGGCTCTGAGTTGGAGTCAACTCAATGGCACCAACAGTAGCAAAAGCCTAGGTTTGTCTTGGAGAGATTACTGGTAGAATTATGGACATCAAAGATGATTAGGTGAGGGATTCAGGAAATAAAGCAAGCTGTAGGATGGCCTCTGTTGTCTTCATACAAATGGCACCAGCAAGAGGCCAGTACTAGCCATATGGGCAATGAGGTGAGTAGACAGAAGGGTGATGATGTTTGTGGAGCGGTAAAGAGCTGTCTGAATGATGTTCAACTGGGTGCTTGACTAGCTGGCTGATGAGATTGCTAAACAAAGATCTTCAAAGGGCCAGGTGAGGAAAGAGAGGGATTAAAAATTAAATGGTGGAAAATTCTGCTGTACCCACTAAGGACATACGTCCTAGAATGTTCACTAAGGAGGTAGCTACACAATCTCTTGTTAAAATGATTAGCCTGTAATTACCACAGCAGAAAACCCATTGGTTTAGGCTGAAGAGGTCAAAGAAAAGTATGTTGCTTGCAGGAAACCAAAGGAGCAACATGTTTTCCCCTAAAAGGAAAGGGCCAACTGTGGATGGAGCATGGAAAGCAAGGCTTTCTGTTGCGAAGGGTGGAGCCAATCTCGTCTCTAAATGTGAGGCTGTCTTCTAGGTTTCATTCACTAAGCCCGATCTTTACCAGCTGTTAGTGTGGGGCTACTGCTTAAGGTGTGCTGGGGGATGAAGCTGTAGCCCATGGCTGACGTGTGGTGCTGCCACAGCCAAGGAGCAGAAGGCAAAATGGGGCCTGGGGCCTGTGAGTAGCATTGCCATCCACATGGACTATGACCACTGGGCTACCCCAAGTGCCTAGGTGGAGCTGAAGCCTAGTCCCAAAAGGTTTCTCAGATGGCCAGCACCCAGTCTGGGTGGCAAGGCCACAGCACAGATGGTCTCAAGAGAATAATGAATTATTTTGAAGCCTTGAAAGTTAAAATTTTCTGTTGGGCTTTAGACTTGATGCTCTTCTTTTTCAATTTCTCCCATTTGTAATGGGAATGTCTATGTTGTACCTGTTTCACACTTGTGCTTTGGAAACATAACTTTGTATTCTGTATTTCACATTCACAGATGAAGAGGAATTCTGCCCCGGGATGGAATACTAGTCTCATTCATATTTGATTTAGATGATCCTGCAGGCATTTTTGATTTGGAATTAAAATGATGTGAAGTGAATGTGCTTTACATGGACCAAGGGGTAGAATGTCATAAATTATATCCCCCCCTCCCCCTCCAAAAAACATGGCTGTAAATTCAAAACTCTAGGCCTGGGGTTATAATCCCATCTGGGAGTGGTCTTTTTATTACTGAGAAAGGATTACTGTAGGGTTATCCTGAGTTAATCCCTTTGCTATATAAAAGAGATTAAAGGTATGAGAAATAAGACACAGGAAGAGAAATGCCAAACCATATTAAGACTGTCCAGGAGCAGCTGCTCGGAGACATAAGGACCTTCCCTGCAGAGCAGGACTTTCCCTAGAACTAGCACTCTGAACTTGGACCTTTCAAACTGAAAATATAGAATTGCTTGTTAAAATCACTCACTTGTATCTGATAAGACAGTAAAATTCAGAAAAATTAAGAATTATAAGAAACCACCAATGGCATGAAATTTACAGTCGTGTTTTGTTATTTTTAAGTTTATGTGACAGATCTTCAACAGTAAAAATTATCACTATGTGTAGCTATGCATAACTTCATGCTTGCCGTCCTCCCAAGATGTCAGCTGCTGACTGCAGCACAGGTCTTACATCCACAGCACGTTCAGCGCACACTATTTTCTGAATGAACGCGACCTTGCTCTATTCCTTGGTCTCTGAGTCTTGACTTGCGCCATGGGACAGGTCAGTTGTTAAAAGTACCGATTGTATGCAGAGCTGGGGTGTACGGCGTAACTGGGGTGGGGGGACAGGGCCAGATGGACAGATTCAGCATCTTGGCCCAGTGTCATAGATGGCTAGGGATGGCAAGATTCAGGGAATCAAGGTGATGGTCCCTACACATCCTTTAGAGCCCAGAGGGGCTGAGGGCTGGTCAGAGGATTCAGATGGTGGTGAACATGGGTTCCCTGCACAAATTCTGAGATGGAATTAGCCCCAGTCCCTGGTTCCACATTTCTGTAACACGAGGGTTCTCTTTCACCAGGGGTTGGACAAGTTTGGCTTTATCACAACTACCTATGGGGCATCTTTTGGTTCCCTGTCACATGCAATCTGAATGACTTCAGGCCAATTTTTATCCCTCACCTCAGTGTCTCATGAATTCTGGGCTATTGTCTGCCCAGCCCAGTAGTTACTCCTGCTGGCCCATTTAGCCACAGCTACATTGAGGTGTTGAGCTACCTTTTATGGACCCATTTCCAGAAAGAGTCCTGGCCAACAGCTGCTCCCTGCAGGGTTTCCTCTTCTCTGGCTAACCAGGCAGTTAAGTGGCTGCCCAAGTTTCCAGAGGAAAGCTCTCACTACCGGCTGGCTCTGAACACTGAATAGAATGAAATACTCTCATAGCCTTGGGTCAGCCCCTGGGAACCGTATCTGGTTTTGAGGCAGACACAGACAGGATACGATTCCATTTCTGGGCTCCCATCTATCCACTTGGAAGCACCTGTTTCTCCTGTGGATGTCTTAGAAGCAGGAAATGCATGAGATTTGCTCAGCACTTACTGGGAACCAAAGAAGAAACAATCCTAAAGTGATTTAACTGCTCCATATAACCACACATATTATGTTGGAAAGAAGCAACCCAGCAAGGGTACAGTGTAAAGCCACCTGCTTATCTTCTACAAAGCCACGGCCTTCTCTTGGGCCGCTATGCTGCTGTGCCCACTCAATGGCAAGCAGTCTCTGACCATCCGAGGAAAAGTGGCCTCTTGCTGAGTTCTGGCCCCTGGAGCCAAGTTTATGAAGCCAATCTTCCTTGGAGGGAGGGCAGTTGTATGCCACAGGAAGGCCTGTGTGTCCATGACAAATCCTCTCCTGTGGAGTCCTAGTGGGCGATAAGTGTGGCCCACCTCTGTCCAAAGTTTAAGGGAATAAGGAAATACCAAAGGCAAATCTTCTCTTATGACAGCATCAGACAATTGTTTCAAAATATATTAGATTTGGTTTTTATTGTAGAGCACACATTTCAGGGCAAAGTGCTGCACATACAACTACAAATCTCTCTTGTTTCTTTTTTTGGGAAAAAAGCTGTAAAAAAAATAAACCTGCAATTGCTTTAGTTACACAGTCCCAACTTGAGGAATCCACGCTGGCACAAGTTCTGTTCCCTCAGAGGGACCGCTTGATGGTGGCAGCCCAAATTCTCAGCCTCTGCAGCCTCGGACCAGCACGACATTTACAAGTTAAGGCCTGGAGGGATGTTGGTACCTGGAGGGTCAGAGAGCCTCTGCTTTCAGGAAAGCCTAGGCCCTGGCCTCAGGTGGCATGGAGAAATTCCTAATATATCTAGATTAGCAAACCTTGCAGCCTTTGAGGATCTGAATGGGTAGAAATTGCCAAAGACTTTACATTGTTTATTTCTTTTATTACTTTTTTTAAGGTCCGCTCCCGGCTCCCACCCACCCTGAGGCAGAGGGGCACCCACCTGGTCTGAAGGCCTGAGCCCTGGCCTTGGATGCATGCTGCAGGCAGATAGGTGTGGACACTTCCCCAAGGGGACCCTGTGGGAGAAGGCCCAAGCTGGCCTATGTAGGAGAGGGGAAGGGAAAGGGAAAAAGCCAGGAGACCAAAGGAAAACTAAAAACTCAAAACAAAAATCCTACCACACCCCACAACAATATTCCACACCCCACATGCTAGACTTGGGAGGACACCAGTCTCTCTAGCTAGAAACAATCCTAAAGTGATCTGACATGGCAAGTCGTAACTGCTCCATATAATCACACACATGTTGGAAAGAAGCAACCGAGCCAAGAGGTATGCTTTTGGCAAGAGGTCAGGACCATGGCAGCCCTAAGGAATTGTGGGCAAAGCATGCCAGTGGGCTCAGGGGCAGCCCAAGGGCACAGTAACAGCTCTGAGGATGCAGGCCTGGGAACTGTGCCCCACCCAGCCAGCCCCAACAACTGTCAAAAGAAGGAGAAATGGTGTTTGCATGAGCTTCCAGGACCTAGAGAGCAGGTGGGAAGTGGGAGGGTAGCAGAGCCAAGGCTGAGCAAGCTACAGGCAGACCTGGTAAAGCTCCCAGAGAATTCAACCAAGCGCAGATGTCAGTGAAGGAAGGGGTGGGGCGGAAGATCAAACTTTAAAATACTGAACCGATTTAAATCTTAAACCAAACCAATTATTTCCTCAATCAAAACATTTTGTTGCTTTTAAATAAACCCAGTTTAACACAGGTCCATTTGAAGACTACTGCCCCTCCCGCCGCAACACATCTACTGGCCACTTCAGTGTTAGTCTCTGTGCTCAACAAACACCGACATTTCCATCCAGGAGGAAAACCACGAACACGAGGACCTAGGTCCTGGCCAATTCTGTTCTTCAACCTTTGAGACAACAAACCAAGGAAAAAAATAACTGGATTTTAAAAAACCCCAAAACAAGAACCATCAAAAACAAAAATGAAACAAAAGGAGGGGGCAACTACGTGAGGCTAAATCAGAGTTCCCAGAGGGATGCAGGCAGCAGGCCTCAGTGCCTCCTCATCTTCACCTTCCGGGTAGGGCTGCTGGCCGCCTCGGAGCAGTCCTCTGTGGACTCGTAGGACTTGCGCCAGTAGTTCTCTGAACTGAAGCTCCCCCTCCGCCGGTGTGTGGGCAGCAGCACTGAGCGACGGTTCTCTTCCTTGTCCATCTCCAGGATCCGGGGCCTGCCAGGAAGGAGGAGCATGTCACCTGGATAATGGGTTGCTTTGGCTCCAGGGTTCTCACGGGAACAAACTGGCCTCACAAGCCAATGCTCACTGAGCCACCCTGGTCTTTGAAACATTTCCCATGGCCCTGTGAGATCTACTTGGCTCTGAGGAACACAGGTTGGTGCCCAGAACATTGCTAGAGCTGCAAGACAGAAGAGGCCTTTCCTATCACTGCCTCATCCTCTTTCATGGTCCAGGCCATAGACCTCTACTTCTCTGCCCTTCTCACCCCTTTCTCTCCACCCCGTCAGCAATCCCGCTAGCCTCAGAAACCACCAAGCTATCATCTTCCTTCCAGCCTTGGGATTAGGCCTACCCAGCACTTCTTCCTTATCCTCAGGCCTCAGCCTAAGTACGACCTCCTCAAAAACCTCTCCTCACACTGAAGTAACTTCCCTGAGTTTCTGATCTTCCAAGTCCCAAGTTTCCCTCTAGTATTAAGTGTGAGCCCATTAAAGAATCTGTCTGGATAGGAATGAACAAATAAGCAAAGACATGGAAAACCTACAAAGTATTCTCATTTGCCAGCGTCTTTGCCTAATCTCATCTCTTTGGCATTAGGTGGACTAGTGCCACCAAGTCAGAAGAAGCAGATGTGAGGGTGGGGATCCCAAGCTCCCACTCAGCCAATCCCTCACCTCACTTCACTCTACAGTGTGCTGGCCTTCAGAGAGGGGCCTCTGCTGAGTACCTGTGGGCAGCATCAGGATCTGCCTTGCGATGGGACCGCTTGGGCTTCAGAGCAGGGTCTCTGTTGTTTCCCGACAGGCGATCTGAAGCATAGCTTGGTGGCAACAAGGAGCTGCTCAGGGACTTTGTTTCCAACCGGGGTGCATCTAACCTCGTCCTGTAAAAGAAAAGCACATAGAGCTGGCCCCACTCAGGCCAATTTCCTCTGGCCAGGCTGAGTTGAGGCCAGTCAGCCCTGTCTAGCAGTCTCTGCTCTGGCCTCAGTCTCCTCCAAAAGTTCAAGCTTAGGAGCAGGGAGGGGTAATATTTCTGCTTGGGAACCGCTGCCTCAAAGACCTCAAAGTGCTGTCTTGACAGAGTGAAGCACTTCGGTCCACTCAGGTGCAGAAACGCTTGGGAAGCATCTGTTTCATTTGCCTGCGGACAAAGGGCCCAGCTTGCAGGCATCAGCACACTGGAACAGACACCTCCCTTATCCTTGTGTAAAGCCCCAAGCCTGTAGGGGGCACTAGAGGAAAACGTCAGATTCCCTCCTCCCTTAATGTACACACAGGGACACTAAAGCTGGGGCACAATTTGCCAGTTCTCCTACCTAAGAGTGGCAGAACCAGGAGCCCAGCCCACTCCAAGCCACAAGTTTGGCTTGGGGATGCTCTGGTCGACACGCGTTTGGCTTTCTGCTTGCCCCAGGCTGCTAAGCCTAGACCAGAGTTGGCCTAGACCAGAGTCGGCACACCTTCTCTAAACACAGGTCTGCGAGACATCCCCCATCCCTCTTGGGGCTTCTCCAAATTGTTCTGCCTGGTTACACCATCACACTACACCCTTGCACACCTAAGTTCAGGAGTCAAGGCTCTATGGATGTCAGCCAGGCCCTGCCCCAACCCGACTGGGCCACTGAGCACTGCACACATCTCACCCCCTCACCCTGTCCGAATTTCTGTTTATCTTAGAAGCTAGTGAGCCTCTCAGTTCCTTTAAAAGACCCTCCCCCAGGAGGGTTAAGATCCTGAATGTGCCAAACCCAGGGGCATGCTAGAACATATGCTCTTATGTTCTTCCTCCACCCAAGTCCTCTACCTCCCCAACTCCATCCTTCTGGCCAGACAAGATCAGGTGGCCACACGAGATGAAGGCCAGTGGGACGAGCTGCCAACACCAAACACTGACCAAGAAAATATGCATGCTGGGTGGGCTAAGATAGAGCAACATTCAGACATAGTTATGAAAGACTGAAGGGTCCAAAGAGCTGACTAGTCTACAGCCTGCTGCCTCACTCCACTCTAGAAAGAAGCCTCACCTTCATTTAAAACAGTTACTTGTACAAGACAAACAAACAAGGAACCCCTTCTCAGAGCTCCATTTTCTTAGAAACTCAAAGCTATCTACCTCACTGACACAAGGCATGGGCAGTGCTTGGGTGCTCCTTTATGCCAACCACTGAGGGACCACCACCACCTCCAGATCTAGCATTCAAAGTCTCACCCTGATTTGGTCTCACTGCCATCTAGTTGATTCAGACTCACAGCGACCCTACAGGGCAGAACAAAAAAGTCCCTCTGGGTTTCTGTAAATCTTTACAGGAGTTGACAGGCTCATCTTTCTCCTAAGGAATGGCTGATGGGTCTGAACCACTGACTTTGTGGTAAGCAGCAGCTCAACGTGTAACCCACAATGTATGGTGACTCAGAGAGTATAATACCAACTACCCTGAGGATTCTGCTCCTGGAGTTCTTGGGAAGACATCTAGCCACCAGTCCTAACCTTCCTGGGAGTGGTCTCTCAGCCCACCCACACATCAAGGGCACCACTTCCTTGCTCAAAGGAGTGGACTCATAGTGAGCCAAAGAAACACTTGGACGCTGCCTACCCCTTTTCCCTCATGAGCCCTTAGAAAAAGCTTTCCAGCTTTGACTGACCAGGGTCAGTGACAAGAGTCCCTAGACCAGGGGTCCTCAAACTACGGTTGGCCGAGGACATTTATCCGGCCTGCCAGGTGTTTTTGCCCCATTTCTTTTTTTACTTCAATATAAGATATGTGCAGTGTGCATAGGAATTTGTTCATATTTTTAAAAAACTGTAGTCTGGTCCTCCAACATATCTGAGGGACAATGAACTGGCCCGGTTTAAAAAGTTTGAGGACCCCTGCCCCAGACCTTCCCTTAGCAGTCCATGCACTCTTTACCCAAACTCAGAAGGCAAGGTGTAACCAACTCCTCTGTCTGAACATGGTTTTGCCAAAAGACCTCAAGACTGCCAGAGACCCTCCAAGGTCACAATGGTTCCTGGAGCCAAGATGGTCCTCTTTCTACCACATCCCCAACTTCTTCTTTAGGAAAAGTCCCCACAACTGCTCTGGAGCTGCTTCCCCACCAGTGACTGATGCACCTCCCACACTAACAGATCTCCCGGCCCCCAGAGAATACAAACTTGGACATTCACAAGCAGAATATAGGCTATGAGAGACTACACAAAGGAGTGCCGAGGGAACTTCAGATGGTGATACAATTCTTACTGCAGACTGGAAGGTTGGGTAGGGTGTGTTTGTGTGCTGTGTGAGTGCTTATGCCCCCGATTGCAGTTGGAGATATCAGGGGTAGCTTAAAAAGAAATGACTTAGGGGAGAATGGTGCAGAGTGCGGGAATGTTGTACTACTGGGCTACCACGTCCAGGTTCTGGGTTTTAACCAATGTTGGTAACCAGAAGAAAAGGAAGTGGAAAAGCAGATAAAATCTGCCCTCTGGCCAATTCTGAGACTATTTACAGACTAAAGGAGAGAGGCAGAGGTTTGCCCAGAGCCCCTGATTTTCAGGACTGCCCAGAGATTGAGTTCATATCTATTCTACAGATGAAACAAACCCAAAGTTCTGACTTCACAAAGTGTCAGAGACCTCATATTATTCTGGGGTTCCAGGTGGTCTCAATGGCCAAAATATCAAAATTAGCAATCAAAATTAAAAAGATAAAAAAACAGCAAAACAAAACAGCATTAACTCAAAAGTTTAAACGTTAAAAAAAAATTATAAATGTCTATGAGTCCATACTGATAAATGATTGAATATATAATAAGTAGGCAGAAAAAAAAAAGAAGAGTTCTAAATAATAAAGAACCCACCCTTACACGACTTATGACTTGCTTCCAAAGACCACAGCATGAGAATAACTGTACAATGGAGAAACTTGACAAATATGACCTCAGAAAGGTGATCAAAGTTAGCATAGTGAGAATGAGAAGTCATGTTGATAGTGTATATACCCTTGATAGGATGTGGTAAGAATGGCCAATTCATCTCCACAGTCTTCCCCAAACCCCTAATTCCAATCTAACTACGAGAAAAACGCTAAGACTCAGGAGCATTCTGTAAATCTTCTAACCTGTACTCCTCAAAACTGTCAATGTCATTAAAGGCAAAGTCTGAGACACTGTCACAGCCAAGAGGAGCCCAGGAGACATGATGACTAAACAGAACGTGGAATCCTGGATGGGGTCTCAGAACAGAAACCAAGGAAAAACTAAAACTGGAATAAAGTATGGACTTCAGTTAATGGAATGAGTTCATGAATTTTGACAAAGTGCACCAAGGAAAAAAATCAGGTGTGGACTGTATTTGGCAATTATCTTTACAATTTTTGTGAAAACCTAAAACTGCTCTCAAATAATAAAGATTTAAAGTAAAAGAAAAAGATAAACTATATGATATCCTGACCAAGGCTGAGTCTTGTCTTGCTCCTGGGCTTCTACTATATGAACCTATGCAACCGCCGATCCCTCTCTGGAACTCCTTATGAAGAAAGCTTGTTTCAGCTAAATCAACATGGCTCTGGCTTCTGCAAATTCCAGTCCACTCACCATGAGAAGGGCAGAAGTGCCTCCAGTGGCCAAAGGTTCATTGGTGTTAAGTGTTAGGCCATACCTCCCGATTCCTTTACAGGAGGGTGGGGGGCGGGCGGGCTGAGCACAGCTATAAGCTGCACCCTAACACTCCGCCTGTTTTCTCTTCTCACTCCCTGCTTCTCACTGAAGTGAAAACCCAAGCATTTTTAAAGCAGGCTGCTAAGGCAGAGTCTAAAAATAATCAGTGAAAGCACACGTGACAAATCAGGCCAAGGAGGTGAGGAAAAAGATGTGGGGGGTGGGTCCTGAAAGAATGCTCTCACTTCTCAAGGCTATGGCCATAAACACTGGGAAAGTGTGCCTTTGCTCAGGCCCAAACTCCATAAACAAAATTCAAATTTTAAAAAGGTAAGAGAACTCAGTTACCTCCACTCCCAGGCTATTGATAGAGAAGACTCATGAGCTCTAAGGGAATCTAACCCTACACCTTCAGACAGGCCTGAAGGCAAGACAAAAGGTGGCAGGCATCAGGGGGGTACTTACTTCCTGAGGATGATGACTGCTCGGCGCTCCTTGATGTCCTGAGGCCGTATGCAGTGAGTGATTTCATCAGCAGCGTATCCACTGAAAATAAACACAGAGCATGTGAGTGGGGAAAATGGACAAGCAACGGAAGTCCCCTGGGAAAGGAATAGCAACAGGGCTGCCCTCTGTCCCATCCCCCTGCCGCAGGGGAGACAGGCAGTGATTTGAGAGGTTCAAAGATCTCCAAGGATGGGAAATACCAAATTAAGCTTTCAGCCAGATAACACTCAAGGAAAAGCCTGGGGTAAAGTGTTCCAATGGCCTCTTAAGGCAGAGTCAAAGCAGGAATAGCTGCCAACAGATCAAGAGTTCCTCCTTTTTAAAGGGTCACCTTTGTAGCACCTATGAAGGTTGCTGGAGTGACTGAAGTCAGACCTTGATGAGAGACAAAGCATCAGATCTCTTGTTCTCTCTTCCTTCCTTCAGTTTGCAGAGGCAGCCAAGCAGATGCTAACAATAATAGGTTACCAAGATAATCTAAGACTGCATTGTTCAAAAAGGAGTTTGTCTACAGATAAAAAATAAAAACAAATGTTTCAAAGCTTCCATTTACAGAAATCCAAACTTTAGAAGATTGCTGTGCTGAGGATATTTCAGAAATTTCCATCACAAATATTTTTAACAAGCTACTTGATTTTTGAAACTGCTTAGAGATCAATGAATGTGGATAGATGATTGTCCTCTTCACAGTTAAGTCTAATTTGAAACCCTGAAGCAAGCTCCTCACTGAGAGAACGGCACCCACATGACCACCCTCTCCCTCTCAGGCTCCATCACCACATGAGGCAACTCTACACAGCCAGAAACATTCTCAGCAATAGGTCTAGCAGGAGGTGAACACCGTCTTAGGCTTCCTGACTGTCCCTGGACCACAAAGCCTGCACACTCCTTGGCTGCTAATCAGCTCCCTTCTCATGAGCAGCTGTAAGGACCTAGACTAAATTGTCTGAACTCCGCAAGCCTGGGAAGGACTCAATTAAAAAAAGATAGGCTGGTCCAACCACAGACAAAAGTTGGATGAGAGTGAAGAGAAAACCCCAGCCTCAGCCTCCACGACCCTAACAGAAGAACTAGGCAATGTCCAGCTATCACTACTCTGACCACTCTGAAAAGGACTCCCAATCGGAGGTTCTGAACAGTGGGTGAAACATGTGGAACAAAACTCAAATGCATAAAAAGATCAGCAAACTGGTCTCCTAAAGACAGACTGTGGTCCTTATACACCTTTTGAGCCTGAAATTGAACTCACCCCACAATTCAGCTTTCAACCTCAAATTATATAAGCCTGTAAGGTGAAGAATAACACTGAGGTATGAACCCCTTAGAACAGTGGTTCCCAACCTTCCTAATGCCGTGACCCTTTAATACAGTTTCTCATGTTGTGGTGACCCCACAACCATAAAATTATTTTCATTGCTACTTCACAACTGTAATTTTGCTACTGTTATGAATTCGGGTGATTTGACCCCCAAAGGGGTCACGACCCACAGGTTGAGAACCACTGCCTTAGAACAAGTAACCATTTGAGATCAAAATGGCAGCATTTGCCCAGGGACAGAGCTCAGAAGGCAGAAATGGATGGGAAAGGGAAGATGGAGTGATCAACACACGGGGGAACTGGGACAAATGCTATAATTATATTGTAGGAATTGCAATCTGTCATGAAACAAAAGTGAATTGAATGGAAAACCAATTTGCTCTGTAAACTTTCATGCAAATAACAGTTCAAAATGCAGTATGTTAAGGGACCACAGAATTATTACATCAAAAGAACCTACTGACTTTAACTGCACACTGACCAAAGAATCATCTCTCAAATAACATCTATTACTATCCTTTAACACACAGTGAGACCTGCTACACAGTGACTGGGAGATCTGGTATGAACCTCCGCTTTGTCACCTTTGAAACCTTACAGTGCTGATCCTAAACTTGTTTCTTCATCTGTGATAAGGGTTCTTGGCCATTCTTTTGTGGCTACTAAATGATTTTAACAGGAGGCAGGCAGCATCTGTTCCCTTCCAGCATAATCAGTGTTTATGATTACATGATTGAGGGCCTTGGTGAGGAGGGCAGTGGGAAGACTCCTGAGGTTGTCTTGAGAGATCACTGAATGCTAAACACTGGACCACCAGGGATGGCTTGAGATTTACCTAGATAAGACAGGGTACCACCATATATCAATCACTCCCATATACTAAGCACTTGACATTGGACTACCCTGGGGTAAGCCAGAGCTTTTGAGTTCAGCGCCTGTCAAATGCACATGTCTCTTGGGCTCCACTCCCAGACCTACGAGCGCTAGTTCTCATGCTGTGCGCTTGCCATTCCACACTTGGGAGGATGGAGGTGTGTGTGTGTAACTCACAAGAGTTACACACACACACACACTCTTCCTAAACAGCTAAGCAACCCAACATTACAAGGCATTTTAAGACCCAAATCCACAGTCCCCATTGTAGGCAGCCTTCCATACTATTAAGGAGTGTTATCTGTTTCATTTGGCAACGGGCACTTTAAGGGCCCTGACTTTCCACCCTCAACAAGGAACTACTTTAAAAACTATAGTTCTGAAAATAAACTTTATATATATATAAAGTAATTTTTTTTTCTGGAGCTAATCTAGACATCTGTCAAAGTTTAAATGCCCCCAGTCCCTAACAGGACTCTAGAATGGAGGACAAGCCATGCCAGGTTTCTGCTGCTGCACCCAGGTCTTGGAAGAGGTAGCCTGGCAATAGACCGCACAGCCCCACGGAAACAGACTTGGCACCGAGGCTACCTGGAAGGCTCATTAACCTCCATCTCCTTGAACTTCCTGGCAGCTGTGGCATAGCCTACTGACTCTTCCTCAGAGAATTTTCCTCAGAGAACCTGCTTTCTCTGCAGTGGGAAGGTTGAGTTCTGTCCAACAAAAGTTCTCCTAATCAAACTTCAGCAGGAGTTATGAAGGTAGGACCAGAAGAGGGGTCAACCCAGCATAGAGAAACCGAAAGTCCCATTCTGCCAGCTGGAAACCTAATAAGCCCTAGGTCCAGCCCTACTCTTGGCGTGAAGCAGTTTCAGTGCCTCCAGCTCGTTTTCACAGGAAGTGAAAGGAGAGCCTGCTCCATGCTGGTCAGTTGCATGCCACCTGGGCTGAGTCCCATGGTTCTCCTCCACATCCACAGTAGTGCGCACCGACAGCCTGGCCTGTCACCCACTAGCTCCAGACCTTAGAGTGATGAGGTCAATGCTTCCTAAATCCTTCTCTGGGAAGAGTTTATCTGACTCCCCCTCCTCCCCTACATTAACCCATACCTCTGTACTACTTACTATATTTGGCCTTGGAGAAACTGTCTACCAGAAAAAGTGTTCAAAGACCTTACTCATCTTTGTACACAATGGATGTTGGATAAAATGTTTGCTAACTGTTTTACTACTTTAGTCTGTTTTTATATCCACAGAACACAGCAAAGCTCTTACTCCAAGAATTAAGGCGCAGGTTAAATGAGTCTGAAAACCTCTGTAAGGAACTGTGTATTTCTCCTACAAGAGACAATGTCGGAGATTAAGTTGTCAATGTGTGTTTCCAAGATGGCCTCCTACTTCAGGCCATGTCCAGGCTGAAGTGGACCAGAGACTAGCCAAGGTCCTGGTATAGGGATAACTTCCCTGGCAGCTGAAGCCACTTGCCCCAGGCAGCAGAGTCACCCTTACTGATAAGACTCGAAGGCCTGAAATTCAAACTCCAAGTTACTTACCAGCCCCAGTCCCCATATGACATGTGGACTAACTTCATGAGAAGTCCCAGAGCTTTCTGGAACCAGAAGGAAGTTAGTCTGTACATATTATGGTACAAAGAGTTGAGTATAGAGGGCAGCACAACTTTGGAGACATTTTTAGCTAAACTTTATATGTAGTAGTGTGAGAGACTCAATTTTCTATAATATGGCCTTAACCTTACTTTGCAGATAAGGAAAAGTTAAAGTAACTTGCCCAAGGTTAAACAGCTATAGTGGTGGGGCTGGAACTCCAATCAGGTCCGACATCAAACTTTGTTTCAGTGTCTAAGCTACTCTGATTTTTTGGGGGGTGGGGGGTTTTAGGGAGGGGCTGCGTGTGCACATGCACAGGGTTGAGGGTGGTATTTGTCATTTGGTTTTGTTTTCCTGGCAACAAGGTTCAAATCTGTCCTGGGTACCTCAACAAAGTACCAGCAAATAAGCCTGGGGCCCACTCCCAGGGATCAGATCTATAAAGATGATCTCATACCCCTACACAGCTAACACTACATCTCAGTGAAGGTTACGTAGCAACTGGCCTGCCTAAAACGGTCAGTCAGACCTGAAATTTTCATGGCCTACTTATCCCTCTATTTGCTCAGAGCTTTGTGATGAAGACCATAGCTTGCCTGCCAGCTTCCTTTTCTTTGACAACCTCTGTGTTGCCAGGCCTAGCAGCACTAAGGGCAGCCAAAGCCCTCTGCCGTAGAGTATGCTGCCCTGGCTTTATCCCGACTCCTTTTTGTCACAGGGAGCCAGAAGACTCAACACAGATGAAGCCCAGGACCTATCTATCTGCCCTACTTCCTTAACTATGTTTAAGCAGAAAGCTTAATTTTGCTTTTAGCCTAATGCACAAGCTCAGCTCTTAGCCCAGAACCAATAAGAGGTATCCATGCTACCCAACACCAACTTTTAAATGGATGCCACGGGCTGAGTCCACCAGTGTATGTATACTTATGACTGGCGAGAGACAGACAAGAATCATTTCTACTTGGGCAGCCAAGGCCTGGGTCTCTGGAATATGGCCACAACCACAGCCCAGGTAGCAGTAGTTAAAAGTAACAGGAAGCAATTAGCTTTGAGATAATTATTCCAATTAACCCTTATGAGTGTTTTAATCTACCCTATTCACACTACAGGAAGGGAGCACGTGGAAAGGGTTGATATTAAAAAAGTGTACACACACACACAAGAATATTTACTTCCCTAAAGAACAAACATGAAGAAGGACCCACTCAGGCCAAACACAGTAAGGTTTAAAAAAAAAAAAAAAAAGGTTACCTACCAACTGGGTTTGGGAAGGAGCACTTCAAAGCACGTTCATGAGACACTGTTCTATTCTAAGTGTCCAAGCTTAGACATTGGCCACTGAGCCAATGTTTGATACATATCTGCATACAGAACTATTAAAATAAAACACTTATTCTTGTCATGTTTCCTTGGACAGGAACAGGCACCACTGCCACGCACACCAACTAAAGCCTGAGTCAGAGGAGAATTACTAGAACCCCTCCCCTTCCACAGAATGCCGTTATTTTAAACAGCCCCTGCCCTTAGATGTAGGAGTTTATAGCTATCAGCTCAGGGCTAGGATATGTGCAAAGAACTAAGAAAGCATCGCCTTTCCTCCCAGCTTGGGGAAAAGCCCAAGCAAGGATTTTAAGAGGGACACCGCTAAGAGGCAAGCAAGCATCCACCCACCTGCACACTGAGCAAGCTGAAAGTACTAAGTGAGCAGGGGCTATGAGATGCAAATTAGAGGGATGGTGCTTCAGAACCCCAGGGCAGTGTTTTCAACGGGAGCTGGATGATTGTGTCTTCCTTCTCCCGGGATGAACACTGTCATCCTGCTACCGCTGCCACAGCCATTGCAACTGCAGACCTATCTGCTTTACCTAGTGAAACTCCTAGTCATCTGGCAAGTTCCAGCTTACTTCCTCCTCAAAACTTTCAACATGCCCCCAGTGTACTCGTGCGGTTAGCCTCCTGGGTTCTGATTCCTCATTGTCTGTGGTCCCAGCTGGGATATAACCTCCATGATGAGCCATGATTCATGCTTCAGCAAATTCCTAGCCACCCGCCAGCAATCGAGCTGTATATGAAAGGAAGCACCTTTTTAAGGACCTCCCATGTTCCAGGCTCTGTATCACATACCTAAATCACCAACCACATTTAATTCTGATAGACATCAAAAGTCCCCAGGGTCCCCAATTTGCAGAGGTGAAAAATGCTCCAAGATCGCCCACAAGCTCCCAATGCAAATGAGAACACTGAATTCAAAGCCCGGGGCAGCATTTCTCAGAACAGGGCCGAGAGTCTCACACTTAACTCCGGAGCCACACCAGAATTCAGCAGGTAGAAGGGACTGGGAAAGCTTTAGGATTTTACTATTCTCTGCTACATACCTGCCACTACTCCACCTCCTGAAAACAATCCTGAAGGCCCATGACTACGTGGAAAATTAATATCTAACGAAAGATCAAATTGCTCTTGTATTATATAAGGGCCTTTCAGGCCTTGGACAGAGCCAGACACCAACCTGTAGTAGGCAGCAGGCCTCCTGAGAGGGTCTCTGCCCTAGAAAAGGGATATGCCCAGACACTGCTCTGGAAATGCCATGCTCTTAAGCCTGAATGGCAAAGGGACACTGGACTGGTAAATGGCCCTCTGGGTTCCTGTTGGGGGCACAAGGTCAGTGGTACAAAGAAGCCAAAATACAACTTCTTTTGTCACTGACATCCCATACGTTCCCAGTAGGAGACCTCGGACATCACAAGGCTCTGCCGCCATCTCATTAGGGAAGCAGCCTCAGCTGGTCAACCAAAATGAGACAAAGGTCCTGCCCAAATAGAAAGAGGGTCCCAGGTACCCTACCATCACCTTGTGCCTCAAAGCCTACACAGAAAAACCCCCAAGTGTCTTAATCCTGTTGCTTAATTCAGTGCTCCACGAAGCAGGGTAGGGTAGCTGCAGCCTAGACCTAACCTACCAGGTGTCTGGGGGATTACTGAAGCAGATCCCTATGTTTATTTTCAAATACATTCTTCTGCTTTAGGTTCTCTGGGGGGCAGGGCAAGCACTAAGCCTCAACAAGGACGGAAGCTCTGCTCCTGACAAAACTACAAGGCTCAATGGCAGCTTAAGAGACTCTCACTTCATTTTGTTGTCTCGAGTCCTGAAGACAGAAACAGCTTAAAAGGCCTAGTGGGCTCTTCGGCAGCCAAGAGGGGAGAAAGCTTAAGATTGTGTTGAACCCTGTTTCTGCCAAGTGCTACTCCTGGGAAGTCACTGCTGGACACACTGACAAGACACACCCCACCCCCACGCCCAGGGAATAGGGACTGCGCTTCAATTAAGTACTCTCAAGGGCCTTCTTCTGTGGGCATTTGCTGTTAAGGAATCCAGCCCTCTGTTAAGCCCCACACACAGCACTGCTGGCGAGGCTTTCGGATGGCTGAAGTTCAACTTGCTTCTGTGAAACGGACAGAGACCGGAAAGGACAGGTGACCAGTGCTTTAACAGAACACAGGGAAGCAGACCCGAGGGTCGTGAAACCCAGCCCACTCCCTTCTAGCAAAAAATGCCTTCGAATGAATTCTCCTTTACATCCATGACGGCGTCCAGCCCGCCCACCAAGGGGGTACAGGAAGCCAGATCCGCTCCTGGTCCCCTGCCATCTTTCCCCCAACCCCCCAGAGCCTACGCGCAGCAGAGCTGGTCTGGGCTGGCCGGCGCGCGGGCGGGCGGGCGGGCGAGCCGGCGGTTACCTGAGCACAGTCACGCTCCCCCTGCGCACAGGCAGGGAAAGCACAGGTTCCGACACCCGGATGGGCTTAAACTGGAACTTGCAGCCGAAGCAGAGGGCCGAGTCGCTGAAGAAGGACACGGACACGATGGGGCGCTCGAAGATGTGGATGGGGTCCACGTGCGACACAATGCAGCCGCCCGGCTGGTAGTCGTTGATGACGGCGCTGTTGACGAAGCCCTCGGGGATGACGCGGTGCTCCACCAGCTTCTGGATCACCAGCTGGTGCACCCACTCGGGGATCTCGTCCACGTCGCCCGGCGGGTAGAGGCGCTCCTGGCCGGGCCCGCGCTTCTGCAGCTGCGCGCCGTACGTGTAGCCCTCGCCGAAGAAGTACTTGTTGCGCAGCGGGGCCCGGTCGACCGTGTGCTCGTTGTACAGGCCCTTCTCGGCGCGGGACACCACCTCGTCGATGCGGGCCTCGATCTTGGCGCACTCGTCCTGACTGAAGAGGCGCATCTGGCGGATGCCGCTCTTCACCTTGCGCGCCTCCTCGTCCCGCTGCAGCTGCTGTTCCTCGTAGTCGCTGCGCTCCTGGTCCGAGTCTTCCTGGAACTTGCGCTTGGCCCCGGGCCCCGAGTAGGGCTCGGCGGCGGC